GTGTTTTGCCTTAGGTCATGTGTGCTTGCTGGGGAAAGAAAGAGAGACAGTGAGAGGGAAAGTGAGAAATCACCCCCCCAGGGGGGATGGTCACAGGGGCACACATGTATATGCGCCTAGTGTGATTTTCAAGCCACTGGGTCCAGGACTTGAACTGTGGTTGGCCATGTTGGAATCCAACGATGTAACCAGTATGCCATGTGCTGGACTTCTGTACTGGTCAGGTACTCTATAGTATGTCCTATAACTGGGATTTCTCTGATTAGACTGGGGCAGCAGGTTTTTTTTTTTTTTTCTTTTTGGAGAGGTTTTTTTTTTTTGTTTTGTTTTGTTTTTTGCTATAGGGCATGTGCGCTCGCCAGACAGAGAGAGAGAGACAGAGAGACAGAAAGTGAGAAATCACCCCACCCCACCCACGGGCAGAGAGCCACACCATAATCCCTTCTCCTCCATTCTCCTCTCGGGATCTTGGGCACGCACGCACACGCGCCCGGCATGAGTTTAAGCCTCTGGGTCCGGGACTCAAACCACAGTCGACTACATGGGAGTCCAGCAACATAACCATTACACTAACTGCTGGTCTCAAGGGGCAACAGGTTTTTGAGAGGAAGACCATGCTGTTCACTTCAGAGTCAGGGTATCTATGGCCACCATGACTTCCCAGTGTTGATGTGAACCTCCACTGCCTGGTGGAGGTAGTGTCTGTCACGCCTCCCCACGGTGAGGAGCTCTGATTTAGACAGACACTGTCTTCTATTTCCTCTTTAATTTGTGTCTAGTATTAATTTTTGCTGCCTAGACTGATTTGAAGGAAGGCTACACATATTTAATTTGGCTTCATACTTGAAGTTAAAGTCTTATTTTTTTCAGATAGAAGACATTTTATTACACTATAATCAGCCTGTTGAAGCAATTTGCACAGATTTTTAAACGAATATTTAATATGCAGTGTTGGTGAGGAGGTTAAGAAACAGACATTTCATAGACTGGCTAGGGCCAGGGTGGGGAGGGAAGAAACTTGGCAATCCAGGTCCTGAGTCTTACTCTGTGCTGCCCGAATCCATCAATTGTACATTTAAAATTTTACATGAAGAAAATATATATGCAATGACCTGGCTAAAAAAGAGATCATTACAATATTCTTTTGTTAGGGCTGGCATTATTGCTTAGTGGTTAAGGAAGCCGGATCCCACATGATCCACTGTGGTTCAAATCCTGACCCCAGTAGCCTGAAAAACACATTGCTCACGCATGTGCGCATGCCCTAGATCCCAATAAGATTTGGGGTTGCAGCGTGACCTCACTCCATTGGCGGTGCTTTCTTCCTCTCTGTCTCTCTGACTCTGTTTTGTGCATGCACCCTCTGGCAAATAAAAATAAATAAATAAATAAAATGGGACTAAAAATATCAACCTCACTAAAAAATTGTGAGGAATAACTGAAGTAAAACATATCGAGAACTGCGGGGCCAGCAGGTGGTTTGGTGGTTAGGGTGCTGGACTCCCACATGACTGACTGCAGTTCGAGTCCTAGGCCTGGCG